TGAAGATGAAGAGTAAATTGTATATTCATTATTTTCACCCTTATTTTTTTCTCTCCATTTTTTCTCCCTTATCACATTTTCTCAGCTTTTATCTTTCTGACGCTGGTACACAATGATACTTATTGACATCACTGTCTCTTTAAATGAAGGGCAGTAGAAGAAATAAGACTAATTTTTGAAGCAAATGATCCCTGAGATTGTACCTCCTGCCTGTGATTTTCTCATCTTTATCTAATGAAAACACTCCAAGTTTGATGACCTGACTCCCATAGTTCTAGAAGCAGAAATGTATTCCACGATCTATTTTAGCACTATCTTTCCTACTTCCACAATCATTAAAACAAAGTCTGAATTTAAAAAGCAATGTGCCTCAGTCACCTCTTTCATGCAGCCAGTATTAGAACTTATAGGAAAGGGAAGCAACAGAAAAATTCTCATCTTTGAAGTCGGGTTTTGGGGGACACACTTGGGAGCTGGTGGCAGAAGGATCTGGAGCTGACGATTAGCCTTAGGTAGTGTAGTAAGTTCAGGGCTATATGAGACTATCTCTCACTCAAAATTTAAAGTCTTTTCTTTTTTTATCATGTGTCTCTACTATGATTAAATTAAGGGAATTGTAAGTTTCAGTTCCCAGATAACAGCATAAGGTAGCCAGACTCCATATCTTCATAATCCCTGTTTTTATTTCCTGTATAAATTGATAAACTCCCTATATTTAAGGACTTTGACAATAATTCTGTCTATATTTAATCTACAAATACCCTCCAAATTGTGTCTTCTTTCAACACAGCCATCATTGTAGCCAAATCTCTTGAAATGTTTTTGCTTCAGTAGTAAGGGTGAAGAGAGACTTTGTTAGAAGAGATGCTTTTTAGATGGGTAGTTGAGTGTCAATGGCAACTGATACAAAGCCTAGGTTTAGGGGCTTTGAAGAGCACTGGCTTGTGCTGATTTCAAGCTCCCTGTTGAATACTGGGGAGAAACAGGCTGCCACACAGCCAATACAGGTGACTCGAACTCATACCAAATCCTCATATTCAGAAGTAAATTGCCCTAACTTCATCTCCTCCCTGAACCTACCTAGATCCATGAAAGTTTTCTAATTCATTTTTATTGTTTTCGTTTCATGTGTCTCTTAGATAAGATGAGATACAAGTTGTAATTTGAGAAGCAAGTAGAGTCTTAGTCTGGCTCTCTATAGAAGTACAAAGCCAGCCCATGTGATATCTAGCAGCTTAGCTTGTCTTCCCATTGGAACAATTCAACATGAATTGAAACCAGGTTTTCCTGTGGAAAACTTCAGCTTGATTGGGGGAATAGAAGTTGAGTGCTTTCCTGCAACTCTCAGTGTTTATTTTTATATGTCCATAAAATGAGGGTGTCTTCACTTCAAATCTGTATAATGTTCACTGCCAAACACTCATGTAGTGTATAATTGCCATCACATTTCTGTATAATAAAGATAAAATAGTTATGCCCCTGGTTTCTCTGTACATGGTTTATAACTTCATTAATTATGGTATGTATTGGCAGGGCATAGCAGTGCTGACCTGGGCTCCAGCTAACATCCCAGTAGGGTCTCCATCTCAAAGTAAGTTACTCAGTAATACCATGTTACCGTTGAAGAAAATGAGAATGATTTCTCTGAATATTCCACAAATGACTTGAGTTTATCTAAGAGATGAACCTAACAATGCACTTGATAATGTACTAACTCTAACTATTTGCTGATAAAAATGTAACTGTAGATATGGTTGGCTTATTATTCCTCCCTCCCTTAGAACAGCACAAGAAACAGGAAAAAAATCTTTATTTGGACTGGCTATACTTTGCTATGTAAAATGAAGCATGTCATGAGCTTTGGCAGCAAGTGCCTTTATCTGCTGGCCATTTCTCTGGTCCTGATTCCTTATTTTTAACTTACTGCTTCTATTGATAGTCAGCTGGAGAAACATAGCTTTCTCATTCTTTGTATTCAAATCATTGCTAAACTAGTAAATCACATACACGCACATGCACAATTGTGGTCATTGATTCCCAGACCCTTTTTATTATTTTAAAATCTTTTCATTGGGCAGTGTTGGTGCACGCCTTTGATCCCAGCACTTGGGAAGGAGAGGCAGGTGTATCTCTGTGGTTTGAGGCCACTCTGGTCTACATAGTGAGTTCCAGGACATTCAAAGCTACACAGAGAAACCTTTCTTGAAAAACCAGAAGAAAAAAAAAGATTTATTTTGGCTAGTGGTAGTGGCACAAACCTATAATCCCAGAAGACTGATCTCTGAGTTTGAGACCAGCCTGTTCTACAAAGTGAGTTCCAGAACAGCCAGGGCTACACAGAGAAGCCCTGTTTTAAAAAAACTCTTAGCTATGACATTTCTAGGTTAGTCCTAATTATCTCTTACCTAATGATGACAGTAGACTTGGGCTAGACTGCCCATCTCTAGTGTCTTTCTGCCTAAATTTCTGAACATTTGTATTCATCACCACCAAACTAACCTAAAGGTTTGTTCTACTTTTTTTTAAAGAATTTTTTATGATGTATAGACAATTGTGTAAAGGTGTCAGATTGCCCTGGAACTGGATTTACAATCACTTATGAGCTGTCATGTTGGTGCTGGGAATTGAACCCCTGATCCTCTGTTAGAGCAGTCAGTGTTCCTAACTGCCCAGCCATCTCTTCAGTCTCCAGTTCTGCTTCCCATTTGATTAAGAAAACCTTTCACTGATTTGTCCTGGAATTTCTAAATGACCTTTGTGAGGAACACTTTTTTTAACCTTACACTGCCTAGGGGTCCTTTTAAAAGTCCTATACAGCATTATAAACATTTCTATTATGCTTACCAGACTTTGCCTTGTTTAGTAATAATCTGTGTGTTGTAGTATTTCTCAGATTGTCCCATGAGAAATAAACCTGATGCTATGAGAAATGAACAGGTAGCTCCCAAGCCTATCTCATAAGAAGTTACCCCCCCCAAAAAAATTATTATGACACACCTTTAATCCCAGCACTCAGAAGTCAGAGGCAGGTTCGAAGTCAGCCTCTGTCTACAGAGTGAGTTACAGGCCAGCCAGAACTACACAGTGAGACCCAGCTTCAGAAAAAGAATAAGTGGGGCTGGGTGGTGGTGGCGCACATCTTTAATCCCAGCACTCAGGAGGCAGAGGCAGGTGGATCTCTAGAGTTTGAGGCCAGCTTGGTTTTCAGAGTTCCAGTACAGCCAAAGCTACACAGAGAAACCCTTATCTGGGGGAAATGGGGGAGAAACGGGGGGTGGGGATGAATCTGACAGTGTTATTAGATAGACTGTTTCTGTTTTGGGAAATTTAGTATACCACAAGAGAGCAGTGGGATGTTACTATCAAGACTGTGTGTGTTGCCATTATTCCTTGGTTGTTTTTTTTGTTGTTGTTTTTTGTTGTTTTTTTTTTCTGTTTTGGGGCAGGGTCTGGCTTTGAATTTAGATGCAGTTCAAAACTTCTTGTCTATGCCTCTCAAGTACAAGAATCGCAGATGTGGTCTAATGCCGAGCCGTTAGTGTAAACATTGCAGTTCGGATGGATGAAAGGTATCCTGGCAAGTGGGAGCCAAGGAATACCACAAATTCACCAGGGAAAGGTTTCCCCCATGTAATAGCTCTGCTCCAGCAGGAGGGTTTCCAAAGCTCTGCTCTACTCCTCTTGAGCATCTCTGCTTCATTACACTCTTACAAAAGAAGGTCGCCGCCCAAACCTCATTAAAGAGATTCGTTGGGAAGGAAGAACCCAGGAGGGTGGCTGCCTCTAGGGTGAAGTGACAGCAAACTGAACAGAGCTTATATAGAGTTCCTTGGGGGGCAGTGGAGCTTTCCAGGGTGGTTTGGGATTGCTGTTGTGCTTAGGGATTGGTGGTAGTCGATGCTCAGGGACCTCAGGGTTTGTGGGACCTCAATCCCTGTTCCCAAGTCGGGGTCAGGGTGTTTTTCCTTGGCCCTTTCCACCCTACAGTTAGACCAATTATTCAAAATATAAATATGTAATACTTTTTTTACTAACACTCTTAGAAGACTTAATCTTGAGAATTAAAATGTTTTGAAGGACAGAGGCTGACTTATATATGTGTATATATTCCAATAAAAGTAATACAGTACTTTCTACTGACAGATGCTGAAGAGTTTTTCCATATTTTTTGGTTGTACTTGTTTTTTAAAACAAGGTCGCACTGTGTAGTCTCAAACTCAGGAGATTTTCCAGCTTCAGCGTTCTTTGTGTGGGTATTACAGGCAAGAACCACTATACAGGTTAATAACTATTGTTGAACTATGATTCTGTTAACATGTGTTTAATATGTGCCAAATGTCTATCATGTACCTAGGGCTGCACTCCTAATTTCAAGTATTTACGTCTCCATAGAATGGCTCTTTTTTTGTTTTTGTTTTTCGAGACAGGGTTTATCTGTGTAACAGTCCTGGATATCCTGGAACTAACTCGCTTTGTAGACCAGGTTGGCCTCGAACTCACATGCCTTTGCCTCCCAAGTGCTGGGATTAAAGGCGTGTGCCATAGAATGACTCTTAACAATTATAGGTGGAAGAAAAAGCCATACGAGGCAGTCTTATACAAGCTAGTACTTGGTCTCAGAAAACTGCTTAAATTGTCCTCCAATTTTTATTTCTGGACGTCGAGAACTTTCTTCGTAACATCCCTCAAAGCTTAATCCTTTGCACCAGTACATGGTGGCCCTCCGGTTTGACGTTCGGAATCCTGGACCTGGCGAAGGAACTGAAAAAGCGTCTGCCCACCCAAGAAGCAAAAATACCAAAGCTAGTCGTCCTGCCCTTAAGCTCCCTGAAGGCTTCTAATTGGCTCTTGTGGCTTGCTCTCTTTCCCAATTGGTGTTCTAGCTTGCCTGTCGGCTCTGATTTTCTCCCCGCCTTCAGCCAACGCTTATTGGCGTGTCGTTACGTCATTGCCCCATGAAGTCCACTCTTATTGGCTCTTATAGGAGGGGGCGGGCTGAACGTCACGGGCTCGGGCCGCCATTTTGACTGAGCAACCATAGTGACAGGAGCCGAAGCAGCAGCTCAGGTTGTCCCCGTTTCCCCTCCCCCTTCCCTTTTCTGGCTGACTTTCCGGGCCCTGCATTTCACAGTCCCGGTCCTGCCATGTCCCAGAAACAAGAAGAGAATCCTGCGGAGGAGACTGGCGAGGAGAAGCAGGTGAGAATAAGGGGAACGGGGGTGGCCGCGCGGGCGGGATCCGCCCCCGCTGCCGCCGATTGGCCGCCTCTGCCTCAGGCTCCGCAGGGGTTGGCCACTGCTTCTGCCGCACAGGCTTCATTTCCGCGCGGCCTGGTGCACCGATGTCGATTAGTCAAGTCGATTGTCATTTTGTGCGATCTGCTTTCTTATTGGCCAGTAAGCCTTCCTTTCAGTCTGGAGAAGCTATTCTATAATAGGCCGAGCTCTGGCGTGGGCGGGTGTTTGGAAAGATGAGGCGAATGAAAGGGGGCTGGCTGGTGGTCCTGGGGCATAAATGAGCTGTGTGATTAGTAGAGATAAGTGACCCAACCATCAGAGTGGAACTCAGTCTTCATCCACAGAAAGATATAGGTCAAGATGAAGACGTTTAAAATAAGCCAGAATTGGGGGGGGGGGGGGAGAGTAATGATTACCTTGGCTAAGTTCAGATGACAACTTCCTGAGACCTATTTTGATAGGGATGGTTTGTTCACCGTCAGTGACTTGCAGATCCCCTTGAGTTCCTCCGCAGTGGGATATAGTCCACCCACCATCGCATGATGAAAACACTAATGCCAACTAAACCCCTTCTTGGGCTCTGTATTTGAGTTCTTAACATTTAACTAAAAGATTCATTAAATACACTTCCTGTTATATCATCCCCTGATTGTCAAGAGAAAAATCCACTAGCTGGACGGTGGTGGTGCATGCATTTAACTCGGGAGGCAGAGGCAGGCAGGCAGGCAGATCTCTGAGTTCGAGGCCAGCCTGGTCTATAGCGCGAGTTCTAGGATACACAGAGAAACCCTGTCTGGAAAAACAAGAGCAAGTCAGGTAGTGCAAGCCTTTAATTCCAGCACTTGGAAGTCAGAGGCAGGCGGATTTCTGTGAGTTCAAGGCCAGCCTGGGCAACAAGAGCTAGTTCCAGGACAGGCTCCAAAGCTACAGAGAAACTCTGTCTCAAAAAAAAAAAAAAAAAGAAAGAAAGAAAGAAGAGAAAAGAAAACAAAAAGAAAAGCAAACAACCCAAACAAATTATGAAAGTGCAGCAGGGAGACTGGAATTGTAAGTAAGTGGTAACTGTTTTGTTAGCATGGCCAGGCTTCTTGACCCAGTACCAAAAAAGAAAAAAGAAAGCATCCAAAGTCTGATTCCAGCCCTTCAGAAGCTGAGACAGGAGATTTCGGCAAGTTCCAGGTGTCTTGAGCATCAGAGTGAGACTCCCCCCCCCCAAAGAAATAAACAAATAGACATGTCCACAAGAAGCAAGAGACGAGCCTGGGGTAGTGACACACATTTTAAATCCAGCACTAGGAACCAGAGACAGGAAAATCTGTGAGTTGAGGTCAGCCTGTTCTACATAGAGAGTTCCAGGCTAACCAGGAGTACATAGGGAGACTATGTTTTTAAACTATCCTGTTTTTAAAATGAGAAGGATGAAGAGATAGAGGTGAGAACCTTTGTAAACGCTTTGAGCTTTAATGTTTCCCAAGACTTCCATCACCTACTCCAGTAGGGTAGGCGTTAATCTTTTTATTTCTTTTTATAAGACTGATATATGAATACCACAGTGAAATTAGTTTCTTCTTTTCTTGAGGTTAAAACTAATGTCACATTAACTGTTTACCTCTTGCCTGCCTACATTTATGGAAGTGGATTACTCAGGTGGATATCTTTGGAATAGACCACATGCCTAGCATCCTCCACAGTGAGACCAGATGGCTTCTTAGAGTCTGAATGAGGGGGGAGCCTCTCAGAAGACTCAACTCTCCCACTTACCTGTTCTTGATAAAAGGCCTGGCCAGTTCCTTTTGTCTTTCCTGCTATTGGTGTTGAATGAGCTCTATGAGTCAGGCATCACATTTACATACTGCCTTTAGCCTAGTACTCACAGGTCACCAGACTGGCTCCCTGGGTATAGTGTAAGAACTAGCTTGTCTTTTCCTTCACTATATATAGTTATCTTGAACCTTGGGAATTTGAACAAAGGTCTAACATTAAGGTCAGAAGAACTGCTCAGTAGTTATGAGCAGTTATTGTTTGTTTGAGACAGGGTTTCTCTGTGTAGCCCTGGCTGTTCTGGAACTCACTGTAGACCTGGCTAGCCTTGAGCTTGAAGATCCACCTGTCTCTGCCTTCCAATTGCTGGAACTAAAGGTGTGCGCCCTGCCTGGTTGCACCTGTTGCTCTGCAGAGGACCTGGGTTTGGGTCCCAGCATCCACATGATGGCTCACAACCATCTGTAGCTCCAGTTCTGGGAGATTTGATGCCCTCTTCTGAATCCTGAGGGCACCCAGGAATACATATAGTATAGTACACATACATACATACATACAGAATACTCACACATAAATCTGCCAGGTGGTGGCACACACCTTTAATCCCAGCACTTGGGAGGCAGAGGCAGGCAGATCTCTGTGAGGCCAACCTGGTCTATAGTGTGTAATCCAGGACAGCTAGAGCTACACAGAGAAACCCTGTTTCGAAAAACCAGAAAAAACTCTTTAAAACATACACACACATTCTAAAAAGAGCAGAGTGGAGATGGCGTGTTTACAGCTGATAGAACTCCAGGAAAAAGCAGAAAATACAAAGGTTGTCAGATACTAGAAGTCATTGATTTTAGTCTTTAATTTCATTTGGCTTGTTTTCTTCAGGACACACAGGAGAAAGAAGGTATTCTCCCCGAGAGAGCTGAGGAGGCAAAGCTAAAGGCCAAATATCCAAGCCTAGGACAAAAGCCTGGAGGCTCCGACTTCCTCATGAAAAGACTCCAGAAAGGGGTATGGGGCAGCCTTTACCATCGTCCTTGCATGAAGTATGAAGTCTGTAGAGGTTCTGCTGCATGTTTTTCTGTGATTGGTTATTAGGCAGTGTAGATATGAGTTAGAAAGAAGAAAACAGATTATTGTGAATCCCTACCATGATGTCAGTTTCCTTCTGATTATAGGAAATGAAGGCTTAATGTTGGGCATTGGGTGGGTGGTGGATGGGCACTGCAGGAGGATGGCAGAGACTGGAAGTGCATCGTGTGCTCTACTCATGCATCTGCCCAGGGCGTGGTGGTGGGGTTGAGGACTGGGCCCTTATTAAGTCTTATAGACAAATTTTAGAGCAATTCATCTCAGAAGATCCAAAAACTCTTCACCTCGAGCAGTAGGTTTCTTTAGACTATTGACACCAGCACCAGACATTAACTATACTCCCTCAGGAAACTTACGTTAGCTGGGTGTGATCCCAACCCCTAAGCTGAAGCAGGAAGATTGCCACAAATTCAAGAGCAGCTGAGTCTGCATAGTAAGTTTCAGGACAACCTAGACTAAAATGAGACCCTGCCTTTAAAATGAAAGAAAGGAGAAAAAGAGGCTGAGTCAGCAGCTAGAGAGTGAGGGGGCTGCTGCTCTTGCAGAGAGCCAGAGTTTCTGTTCCCAACACCCACACCAGGCAGCGGACCATTGCCTATGACTTCAGCTCCAGGAGAATCTGACCCCTCTCTGGCTTCTGTGCACATATAAATGATTAAAAAAAAAAAGCAGCCTGGACTGGAGAGATGGCTCAGTGGTTAAGAGCACTGGCTGTTCTTTCAGAGGACCTGAGTTTAATTCCCAGCAACCACAGTGTGACTCAAAACCATCTATAGTGGGATCTGATACCCTCTTGTGGCATAAAGTTGTACACATAAAAACCATCTATAGTGGGATCTGATACCCTCTTGTGGCATAAAGTTGTACACACAGATAGAGCACTGATATACATAAAATAAATAAATCTTTAAAAAAAAAATAAAAAAAGTACATGCCTTTAATCCCAGCACTGGGAGAGTAGCGGTCGACAGATCTCTGTGAGACTGAGGCCAGCCTGGTCTACATAATAAGTTGTAGGACACTGAAGCAACATAGTGAGACCCTGTCTTCAAAAAAAAAAAAATAAATAAATAAATAAATAATAATCAAAACATACAGGTTTTTTTTTTTTTCACATTCAGAATGATAAGAGATGTAGCCCCACAGGAAAGTGCTTGTTCAGCTTGGGTTCAACTTATAAGACCACAAAAGTTTAAAAAAGAAACAACCATGATGGCCTTCCTGTCTCCCTCTCAGTCTGCTGTCTCTCTGCCACAGGCTGACAGGCAGACATACGGATTAAGCTGGAGTGGATGGATGGGATGGAGAGGGAAGTGGCTTCCTCCAGAGACTCCAGGTCCTCAGTCTTAGTCACGGCTGATGGCGTGGTGCTGATTTGCAGTTTAGCTCGCCTCAGGCAAGCCGGGTGTAGGCGGGCTGTCTCACCATGGAACACATGTAGGAGTGGTGGGAGTCCAGAAGGCACATTGCCTCATGACAAGCCAGTTCCTATTCCTGGTCCGAGAGTCATCTCTAATGCAGAGAGCTGGCTTCAGTGGTCTCTGGTGCTGGGAGCCCCAGATCGACCCTTTCCCAACCCCAAGGTATTGCTTTGTCACCTAGTAAGCTTCTCGTAAAGCTGTTATGAATGGGCCCAGCGGTGGTGGCGCACGCCTTTAATCCCAGCAGTAGGGAGGTAGAGGCAGGAGGATCTCTGCGAGTTCGAGGCCAGCCTGGTCTACAAGAGCTAGTTCCAGGACAGGCTCCAAAGCTACAGAGAAACCCTCTCGAAAAACCAAAAAAAAAAAAAAAACCAAAAAAAAACTGTTATAAATGAAGCAAGTGGTTCCGATTGAACCATCCTATACTAAGTAAGGTCCAAAACATGTATGAGCCGTCACCCAGGTTCAGAGACAGAACCGTCTCTTAAACTGCAAAGGTGCAAATTTCTTCTAGGACGAGATCAAAGCATGCTAGGAGATGTAGACCACGTGAGCAGTGTGGACTGCACATGAGGAGTGTAGACAGCTGGGGTGCATGAGAGCCTGTGCTGATGCTGGATTCGAGTCTGCCTTTGAAGAACCTGAGAGCTTACATTTATCTGGACCTCCCTCCTGTCTCTTAGCAAAAGTACTTTGACTCAGGAGACTACAACATGGCCAAAGCGAAGATGAAGAACAAACAGCTGCCGAGCGCAGGGCCAGACAAGAACCTGGTGACCGGTGACCACATCCCCACCCCACAGGACCTGCCCCAGAGAAAGTCCTCACTCGTCACCAGCAAGCTTGCGGGGTAACCTGGGCCCCTCTCTTCCCCTTCCTCACCCACAGGACTTCTATATATTATAGGCAGGGCATGGGCACCTAGTCAGAGCTCAGCTTGCCATCCAGGGAAGACATTCTGCTGGAGGCTTAGGTTGAAGAGGGACTCTGAATTCATTTCTTTGGGTAAATTGAAACTTCTACACCATCACTGTAGCCCAGTAGAGACCCAGAAGCAGGAAAGACTAGGACCGGATAGCACTGCAGCTGTTCCTGTGCTGAGAAGCGTGAAAGATGGAAGTTCTCCTTTTGGAGGAGCAAGCCCTCGGGCAGGCTGAGTCTGGAAGCAGTGTGGCAGGTTCAGTGTCCCGAGGCTGAACAGACGTGTTGGGAAAGGTAGAGGGAAGGAGACGCTCTCTGTGCTTCTAAGTGTGTCATCCCTTAGGCCTCTGTGCTTTGTGTTCCCATCGTGGGTGTTTAGGGAACCTTCAAAGAGGAGAAGGGATTTGCTTGCCTAAAACCACAGTGCCCACCTAACCTTTCTGCTGTGTCCCTCCAGCAATTGCCCTGCTTCTCAAGGATGGAAAGCTTGATGAAAGTAACTCAAAAAAAACTGGGATCTTTTCTCTTTCAGCATGTTGCTTTGGAAAGTATTATGGGACAGTGGGAAGAGTGTAGGGGTCGGAACACTGGCTGCAGTGCTGCTCGTGCCCAGCAGCACTGGCATACGAGCTTGGCTGGGTCATGTGGCCTCTGAGTCTGTTCCTCATCTCTGCAGAGCAGGAACCGTGTGGGCTAATTCTGACTAAAATCCTCCACCTGCTCTACTGCCGTTGATCCTAAAACCAACTGAGGCAGGCCCATTGCTGAGCCTCAGTTCTGTAAAGCTAGAAGTCAGGGGAACAGGAGGGGCGCTATATGGGAAGAGAGAAAGTTTGAGGTTTAAGGGCCACACCTTCAGACAAGGCCTTCTTGAGGGAGAGGGGGAGAAAGAGTAAATCTGAAGAAGCTAGCTCTGGAAGTGTTTTGACTCTCCCATTTTCCTGGCCTACAGTTGACCTAGCTGCTGCAAACTGCTCTGGCAGCAGACCGGATGGCCTGAGGAAGCAGGCTGTCCTGTGGCGCTCGTGCTTCAGGTGGAGTCCGATGCTAGCTGTGTGTTAGGCATGGAGGAAGAAGGGATGAACAGAGCTGGCCCCGAGGAGGTGGTGCTCCTGCCAGCTGGAGCATCTGGGCCTTAGCAGATGATTCACTGGTGGAGGCGGAGAGTGGGGAGGGCGACAGCAGCCTGCCTTGCTGTGTCATCACTAGTGTGGCCTGGGTCTGACTGAGTGCCACCTGCTCTGGGGAGAGCTGCTCAGAAGAGCAGGATGATGCGGACTGTCTCCCTTCACAGATTCCGGTGTGCCCGTAGAAGGTCTGACGAGTTTGTCGCTGTGTGTGTTGGAAAAGCGTCTAAATATGCTCTCCTGTTTGACTGCTCTGGTCTCTGGCTGTCGTTCAGATTGGGTAGGAGTAGGTTGGTGAGGAAGGAGTGGAGAGAGCAGGACCCCTGGTCTCCCTGGCCCCCAAACTCCTTGACTCTCATTGTAATTGTATATAATTTTTGTGTTTTTTGCTCCATTTTCTCATGCTGTCATCCTTAATCTAAAGTCCATGTGGGAAGGGGACAATGCTGAACATCATTGTATAGTTTCTTCAATGTCCCAGCCATGTTGTACATAGATATGTCATGTTATTATATATATAAATATATATATAATTTTGTACGTTTTCTTCATCTCCGATCTTCTCGAATTCTGTACCTTTTCCTCTTTTGTCTGAGCTGCCTTCTCAGTTTTGTATCTTCAAGGCTGCTGTTCATGGCAAGTCTGGTTTTTAGGAAGGGACAGGAGGAATAGGGAAATCAAGCTAGCTTGTGATCCCAGCTCTTCAGAAAGCTGAGGCATGATGATTTGCTACTTCAAGGCTAACCTGGGCTACAGAGTGAGTTCAAAGCTGGCCTTGAGTTTAAGACAACCCTGTCTCAAAATAAAAAGAAAAGAGAGGGCTAGAGAATATGGTTTAGATGTACGGTGCTTCCCTGTCGTGCAGGAGACCCTAGACATACAGCAGCTAGCAGGTACACACATGCACATGCACACACTCATGAGCAGAGGTGGGGACAGAGATGGGGAAAAGGCATTAAAATCAAAAGCAAACTATCAGTCTCTCTCGTCAGTGCTAAGGAAGCAAGTAAGCTTCTCTTCGCAGGCTTGTTTAGCAAAGAAGAGTCATTGCATTCGATTAAACCCAGGCTGTTTGGTCCCCTCCAAGCACGTGTGTTCTGACCCTTGTATCCATCAGTCACCACCTCACCGCTGTGCTTCCTGCTCCCCTGCTGCCAGTGGCTGTGCCTGCAGGACTCCTGAGGCAGACATCTGTGTCTCCCCTGGAGGAAGCCTCCAGTTACTTTATGTCTCAAGAATTGTTGTGTTTTCCATGAGTATATCAAAAAGACAGAAACATCCTGTTTGTGAATAGGAAAAGACTAATTTTTTTCAACTTCCTTATGATTAATATGCAGGAATATGTCAGGGAGCCTAGTGAAGTATTTGGAGAAGCCATGGGGTCAAGACGGGGATGGAATTCAAGAGGTTTTCCCCTTTTACTTGACAGTGTTTTTGTTTGTTTGTTTTTTGTTTCTTTTTCTGTTCATCCACAGTGGCCAAGTTGAATGATGCTGCCTGGGGCTCCACCAGATCGTGAGACGCTGCCCACTTGGGGTCCTGTGCTGGCTCCTGCCCCTCCCTGTTTTTGCAGCCAGGGGTCAGGAGGTGGCCCAGGTGCAGGCTAGAGAGGCAGAGATCCCTGCCCACTGGTGTCCCAGCGCGCATGGAGCCCCTTGGGCTGAGCACCAAGACCTTGGACTTTTTTTTTGTTTTACATTTTTTTTTTCCAAATAACGGTTGGGAGAAATTTCATTGAAATCCCAAGGGTGGGGTTAAGGGGGTGGAGTGGAAGCTGTGGGGGAAAATGAGCTAGGATTTGTAGCTGATGAAAAAGACAGTTTTCTACCATTCTTGTTAAGCACAGGTTTGAGATGGTTCTAAGTGAAGGGGTTGTCAGCAGACTAATGGAAGGGCTTCGAGGTCAGCTCTGAAGAGAGATACATTGTTTAATGTGGCTAGTGACCTGGAGTCAGAGAAAAGGAATTGTGCGCTGTAATTTCTCTGCTTCTGTAGAGCAAGCCGAGGAGTCAGTGTTACTTGTTCCTTTAACAGAAGTGTTGTCCTTGAGGCAGGTTTGCTATGGGAGAAGGGCAGTGAGTGGGGAGCCCCACAGAGCCCTGGGGAATTTTTTCAGTATTTGAAATAAAACAAGAACAACAAAAAACACCCGTGGAAAAAACCAAACCCAGAAATACTCTGAAGCAGTTGGTGTGTTTTCTTGGGGTTTGGGAGGGTGAAAATGTGATTGAGGGGGAGATCGGAGTGGTTCCTGAGTTTGCAAGAAACACAGGGCTCTCTCAGGGTAGACTGTCTGACCTTCTGACTGTCACTGGGGAGAGAGCAGAATTGGTGGTGCACAGGTAAGGCCTTTGCTGGCCACTGTCTGTCCTCTGTAGCTAATACAGAAGGTGCACCACCCTATATAAAACGAGAGCTTCAGGTTTCTAATTAAATGGCGTACTGATACCCAAGCTTAGTCCAGACTCAGCAAAAATGGGGCCCTGTTCTTCCTGTTCCCCTTCAGTTTCTATTCCTGAGTTCTATGTCTGTGTAGGAGAAATGGGGGTTCTTGGTAAGAAGCAAAAGAAGCTTGCCTTTCTGTTCCTGGCCGGCAGACAGCGAGTGACTTATCCCCACATGATATCCCACCCTGCCTTCTTGAAATCCTGCCACTGAAAGCCGATTGAGAGAAGTGCAAGAGACAACTGAGTGAATCACCAGTGCTCTGGGGTTGGGGTGGATCTGCACTAGAGAAGAAACCTTGCTCTCAGTATCTATGACTTTGTTTTCCTTAGTCAAGCTTACCAGGTGAATATGTAACTGTTTGAGATGGTCTGGCTTTCTCTCTTCTGATTTAGCCAGTATTCTGGTTTAATCCATCCGAAAAGGTTGTCCTGCTGAACAGTGAGCCCAGCTGAGTGAAAGAGCACTGAAAAGAAATGTGCTGAGCTGGAATACTGCCACGATCCCAAATCCCAGCCTTTGGGAGGTGGAGGCAGGTCTTCATCAGCTGCATAAAACAACACATGGACATGGTCGTGCTTACTTGTAAACCTAGTACAAGTAGAGGCAAAGGACCACAAGTTCAAGGCCAAGCCTGCTCTGTATGGTGAGTTACAGGTCAGTGTTATGTGGTAGGACTTTGTCTCAAAACAAAACAAAACCAAAAAAAGATCGTTTGAGGGGTTTTTCAACCAAGCCTGAGTTTGATTTCTGAAACCCACAGCAGGGAAGAGAACTTACTCTCAGCACCCAGTAGAGGGCACTGTCACATACACGATGACATGTGTACACACAACAAAAACACATACAAAAAAAAAGTGTGTTATGTAGCTGAAAGAATAACGTGAAAAAGTTGGATGCTTTGATCGGAATCAGCCGAAAGCTGTGTATTCCTAGCGTGAGCAGTGGCACTGCCGCACGGAGTCTGAGATTCCTTGGTTCCGTGCCGTTTCCCAAACATGTCAGGTTTCTGTCCACCGGTGCATATATCTGGGGTGGGAAAGCTGTGTCAGAGTGTCCAGGCAGTGACGTTCATTTCCATACAGGAGGAAGTTGAGGTATGGAAATAAGTTGCTTGGAAAGCAGCAGGCTAAGGAAGAGCTTTTGTTAGTGCCTAACCTGTGATAGTATAACCTCCCTGCTGGTCAGGAGTCCCTGGGCCTGAGTTTTAAGCCGTAGCCTTAAAAATCCCTGGGTACCAAGCAATGTTTTGGGATTCTTACATATGAGTTTTAAATTTTGCTTTTCGGAGCCAGGCTATGGTGGTGCACACCTTTAATCCCAGCACTCCAGAGGCAGAGATAGGTGGATCACTTACGACTTCAAGGCCAGCCTGGTCTACACAGTGAGTTCCAGGACAGCCGGGGCTACATGGAGAAACCCTGTCTACAAAACAAAACAAACAAACAAAAAACAGACAAAAAAATTGCTATTTGGGACTGGAGAAATGACACTTGGCACACGAGCCTGACAACCTGGTCAATGCCTAGACCCCACAGAAAGGTGGGGCAGAGCACTGACTCCTCAAAGTACAGGCGAACACAGGTAATACAATTGTTGTAAAATAGGGCTAGAGTTTGGCATGGTGGTGCATGCCTTTAATCTTAGCGCTTGGGGAGCAGAGGCAGATGGTTCTCTGAGTTTGAGGCCAGCCAAGGGCTACATAGTGAGACCTGCCTATGAATGAATGATTGAATGAATGAATGAATGAATGAATGAATGAATGAATACAGGACTCAAGTAGTTGTACGGCTTCTAACCCATTAGTTGGGAGGCAGAGGCAGGTAGACCTCTGAGTTCAAGGTTAACCTGGTCCACATAGTTCCAAGACAACCAAACAGCCAGTGAGACTCAGTCACAAATAATTTAACTATTGCCATTTATTTAATTTATACAAAGACCCAAGGAACCAAGGTAAACAAATTCTGTAACCGACATTCTTTTCAAATACTTTTCTTGTGTAACCCAGACTGGCCCAGAACTTGACTCCTGCCTCCTCCTCCTGTGCTCCTGTGTGCTGAGGTTGGAGGCACATTGCCACCAGCTACATGTGCCTGTACTGACTATTTTAGCCCGTGTCTCTGAGGTCTTCCTCTCAGAACTGGGTGAAGGTTCTTGCATTGCTCTGGCACATCTGGGTGATTGTGACAACAGACCTGTCACCTGAGCCTTTATGTGTACAGAGTGGCAGGAATCAAGTCACTAGTCCACCAGGATTGAACTTTGACTAGTGTACCTACACACAGAAGACAGTCATAAGCCAGACACGGTGGCACACAGCTGTAACCCTAGTACTCAAGAGACTGAGGCAAGAGGATTGCCACACATTTAAGGCTAGCTTGGGCTACATAGTGAGACTGTCTCCCCCCCCCCAAAAAAAAGTGTTGGTGTATGCATAATCTTAACACTGAGGAGGTAGAGACAGAAAAATCATAAGTTCAAGACTACGTGCCAGTAACCCAGTTCTCAAAGGCAAAGGTAAGAGAATGGGCTACAGTAGCTAGTTCAGGCCAGTCAGGACTACATAGCAAGTATAACTGCCTTGGAATAAACCGAAAAAGGGAAGGGAAGGGAAGGTCCCTACAATAGGGTGCTGTGTAGCGTGATGTAGGACCTGCCATGCTTAGGGTCCAACAACAGGAAGTAAAACTTGGAATACAGCATAAGCTTCCCAGGAGCACTACATAGCAGGTCAGCACAGCCCTGAAAACATCCAGCTGAATGCACATGCTGCCATACAAGCCTGAACCTTGCGGGGGGGGGGGGGGGGGGACCACAGGGTTTCAGTGGTCCAGCTCGGTGACCATTTACTAAGTGCTCAGAATATGCCAGGCACTATGCTAAAATACAAGGTTGATGGTCCATGCCGCTGCTCTCAGTGACGACACTGGTGGAGAAATTGCAGGGGAATAAATGGCATGGTAATGTAACATTTAGCAGTGCTGGTCCATCTACATGGAATAGAAAGCAAACAAACCAGTATTTTCCCTAGCAGGCTTTCTTGGACTGCCAGTCCCCAAATCATGATGTGGAGACTTAGTTATGAATGCTTGGCCTTAGCTTATTTAGGCTTGTTTCTAGCTTTTTTCTTTTTTTTTTAACATAAATTAACCCATTTCTATTAATCTGTGTGCTGCCCTGAGGCTAGTTTGCCTCCCCTATATACTTGTTTTCCTGATTCCTCCATATCTGGCTGGCTGGTCTCCCTTCTCCCCTTTTCTCTCTGCCCTCCAGCCTTGTCTATCCCTTCTCTGCCTAACGGCTCTCCAGCTTTTTATCAGACCAGTCAGATGCCTTAGGCAGGCAAGGTAAAACAGCAACACAAACAAACACAACGCATCTCTACATGCTTAAAAAAAATAGTCTGTTCCACAATAATTTTCCAAATAGTTTGAACAGTGTTTTCAAGCACCATGCTAAGTAGATAATTAGGATCGATTCATTTAATCCTCAGTTCTATAATGTAAATTTTGTTTTGCCTTGTTTTGGAGTATCTCATGTCCTAGTCTCTTAATTCCAGTTCCAGGGGATCCTATACAATTTTCTCTTAAGTTCCATAGGATCAGGCACACATACAGTGCACATACATATGTACAGGCAAAGCACTATATACAAAATAAATAAGGAGTAGGGGATACCTGCATGGTGGTGCATACCTGTAATCCTAGCACTTGGGAGGCTGAGGCAGGAGGGTTAAAAGTTCAGGCAGGCTACAATGTAATAAGACTCTATCTCAAAACAAACCATGTGTGGTAGCAAATGCCTGTATCCTAGGACACAGGTCTCAGAGGCAGGAGGATCACCGCAAGTTTGAGGTTAGCCTGGTCAACATAGCAAGTTCAAAGACAGCTGGGTCTACATATGCATCAAAGTGAAGGGGAAGGGGCACTAGAGAGGTGACTCAGAGGCTGAGCACTGACTGCTCTTCCAGAGACTCTGGAAACCATGTCATGGCTCACAGCCATTTGTAATGAGATCTGGTACCCTCTTCAGGTTTGCATGCAGACAGAACACTACATATAATAAATCTTTAAGGCTTGGCGGTGATGGTGCACACCTTTAATCCCAGCACTCCGGAGGCAGGGGGATATGGATCTCTGTGAGTTCAAAGCCAACCAGGTCTATGAGCGAATTCCAGGACAGGCTCCAAAGCTGTAGAGAAACTCTGTCTCAAAAATCAAATAAATTTTTAGAAAGTGAAAAGGGTAAACTCAGCACGTGTGAGCTCCAGGCATATGGGTGTGAGTGTAGAGGGAAAGTGTGTTGGGTTAACAACGGGAGCAGAGACTGCATGAGAAAGTTCCGGCAGCTTCAGCAGACCAAGAGGATGAAGACATTTGGTAGAAGTACGACACGCAAGGAAGAAACAGCCTGGACAGTCACGTGACTGCAGACCTCGTCCTGGAGCCACACAGGGTGTCAAAGGAGTCAGCTCCCAGAGGATAGTCTGTCAGAGCCACCGAGGGGATTCCAGGCAGAGATCTGGTCCCATCTGTTTTAGTTGGGTCCATGCCAAGCTGTGTGGAACAGGAATGTATTCCTTGTTCATTTGGCTGATATCCGCTCGTGTGTGTGCTGGTGCATGCACTGGGTGTGTGTGTGTATGCTGCTGCACGCACTGGGTGTGTGCGTGTGGAGAGCAGAGGTCAACTGCAACTTATCAACCAGCTAGAATTTTTATTACATTTTA